TGGCTGCCCCTGGATCCCTGGAAGCACCCAAAGCCAGGTTGGGTGGAGTTTGGAGTCACCTGGGATGGTGGGAGGTGACCCTGGTGGAACTGGGTGGGATTTAAGGTCCTTCCCAACCCAACCCATCCCATGATTCATCGGGAGCCCCCACGCTCCAGTCAGGGCGTCACCTGCTGCTTGTCCCCTGGCAGGAGCTGAAGGATCAGTGTCCATCCCTGTCCGAGAGCGACGCCATCCGCTGGGTCCTCACCGTGCCRGCCATCTGGAAGCAGCCGGCCAAGCAGTTCATGCGGGAAGCGGCCTACAAGGTGGGGGGACACCGGGGGGTGACCAGGTGGTGACCTTCACAGGGTCTGGGGGTATCCCCGTCCTCCCTCAAACTGAATTTCCAGGAATGGAAGGGATATCGGGCAAAAAATCCTGGCTGGGAGGGTGGGGAGGGGCTGGGCTGGAATTGCCAGATTCCCCCGGATCCCTAGCAGTGTTTTGATGGTTGAGCAGTTGGGTCATTGGTTGGGTGGGTGGGTGGTTGGTTGGGTGGTTTGGTGGTTGAGGGGTTGTGTCCCTGGCTAGGTCATTGGTTGATTCATTGGTTGGTTGGGTGGTTTGATGGTTGGTTCATTTGTTGATTTGGTGATTGGGTCATTATTTGGTTGGGTGGATTGGTTGGTGGATGGGTGGTTGGTTTGGTGGTTGAGCGATTGGTTCATTGGTTGGGTGGCTGGTTGTTTGGTTTGGTGGTTTGGTGGTTGAGGGGCTGGTTCATTGGTTGGTTGGTTGGTGGCTGGGTGGATTGGCGGTTGGATGGATGGTTGGTTTGGTGGCTGGGTGGATTGGTGGCTGGTTGAGTGGTTTGGTGGTTGGTTGGGTGATTCGATGGTTGATTCTTTAGTTGGGTCATTCATTGGTTGGTTGGTTGGTGGATGGGTGGTTGGTTGGTTGGTGGATTGGTGGTTGGGTGTTTGGTTTGGTGCTCGGGTCACTCTTCAGGTCACCATTTGGATATTTGAGTGAATATTCGCGTGTTTGGTGAGCGTTGTGTCCTCCAGCACTCCCCACCCGCTGCGTGCACACCGAGGTGACGGGGATGCGTCCTGGGACTCGCCATATCCCCCGTGCCATCCCCGTCATATCCCCCGTGCCATCCTCTCCGTGTCCCTCATGCCATCCTTGCCATGTCCCCAGTGCCATCCTCACTGTGTCCCCTGTGCCATCCCTGCCGTGTCCCTCGTGCCACCCTCGCCGTGTCCCCTGTGCCATCCCCACCGTGTCTCCTGTGCCATCCCTGCTGTGTCCCCTGTGCCATCCCTGCAGTGTCCCCCGTGCCATTCCCTCTGTGTCCCCTGTGCCATCCCCGCCATATCCCTCGTGCCATCCCCACCGTGTCCCTCGTGCCATCCCCGCCGTGTCCCCTGTGCCATCCTCACCGTGTCCCCTGTGCCATCCCCTGTGTCACCGCGTGTCCCCGCAGGCCGGGCTGGTGTCCCCGGAGCGGCCGGAGCAGCTGCTGATCGCGCTGGAGCCCGAGGCCGCGTCCATCTACTGCCGGAAGCTGCGGCTGCACCAGCTGGTGGAGCTGAGCGGCCGCGCCCCGGCCGGCGGCACCGAGAACCCGCACCCCATCGACTCCAGCTTCCGGC